TGGTGTGGAGAAAGTCTGTGAAGAATCAGTGGGGCAGAGCAGCTCATGTCATAAGACATCTATAAACACTTCCAGGAATCACCCCAGGAACGGTTTGGTTTCTGCTATTCCCCCTTTGCAAAGTCTCCTCACCTCTGTTTGTGCTTTGTCCCACTTCAGTCCCTGACCAGCGGGCAGGAGCAAGGCTGAACACCCATTCAGCGCTGCTTAGATCTCGTACAAGGTCTGCCACCTGTCTTGGTGGCAAGCCCTCCTATTGCCTGAGCTGCTGCAACCTACGAAATGTTCAGAAACATTCTATCTTCTCATGGGAAACAGTGTGAGAAATAGAATGATGGCCATCACTTTCTCTAGGGAATTGGTTTTAAAAAAGATCCACACTATGGCCCTTTTCACAGTACCATTCTAAACCGGATGTTATTTGTCATTGACCCAATTTCGAGTAAAGCGATACAGGGATGGGGGTTTCATACAGCGAATTTCCTTCCATTAATGAACCGTCTCTGAAGCGCTATGGTAATTTCAAACAGTGCTGCTTTTTCCCCCCATCCTTTTTTGCCGCGCGATGTGAGCATTATAGTGCTAATCCGCAGTATCACTTTAGTGCTATAGCGGCACCATTGAGATGCATTGACTCAATGGAGTCAGTGGAGTTAATGCATCTCAAGGGTGCTACTATAGCACTCACCTTACAACGTTTTTTTTTAAAGTCCGAGGAAGTTCACAAGGCAAAAAACGGGTGGGGGGAAAAGGGGCTTTGTAGGAAGCGCTATGGACATGTTAAACAGCACACCACAGTAATTCAGAAGCACAATAAAGGGGTTGAAAATGGAAGAAAGCAGTTTCCCTCAAAAGTGGCTTAACTACACTTTGCTAACCCAACACAAGCAGATTTATGTGAACAGGTACATAAATTCCGCTAGCAGCCGGTTACCAGAACAGGTCTGTCTGAAATGACAGGAAAAAATCCATCAGCAACCAGTTACTAAACCAGAATACAAAGGCAGTTTGAAAAGGTTCATAGTCTAGGCTGCGTGCTGCTGACAGGAAGCCAACAGTATTGGGCAGATGGTAGAAACTGGATTTGGTGCAGCGAGTGAACACAAAGGAAGCTGAAAGGAGAGTGACAAAATAGTCGGTGGATCCAGAATAGCAGCTTGGAAAGGTAGAGGCCAAGGCAGAGGTTGAGGAAAACAGCGGGAAGGGCGGGCTGGAGCAAAAACTCACACAACTCTTGAGACTAAAAAAAGTTTGTGTTGGGGGAGGGGAGTTGCAAGCAAACTTCATGTTGGCTTTCTGACCAAACTTGGCAGCTTATCTGCTGGGGGCAAGCTGAGGGCTCAACAGCGAAGAGAGGCCAAAACAAAAAGTTGAAGGAAGACACTATTATCTGACCTAATTAATCAAGACCTCGGCTGCAGAGCCTTAATTTAACCTAGCACACACAGAACCGTGATTGAAATATTACGGAACACATTGAGATGATGCTATTAACTTGGAGCAGGGGAAAGTTACGTGTGTGACCCACGTACAGGAGGAGAACAAAGAGACGGGAAGGATTGCAGTGCTGGACACAGTGTAATAGATTGACCCGTTACCTCATGAACTGCTTGCTCCCAATATCCCGCCACAGCATCTCCAGGAAGTGGGTCGAAGCCTCCTGGGCCAACACGGCTGCTTCGCTATGCAGATAGTGGTGAGGCGAGAAGAGGAAGGATGAACTGTCCTTGTTGATACCACCATGTGGATCTCTGTAACGGCTGTCATCAAATGTCCCGCCATGACTGCACTTCCCTGCGAAACAGGGAGATTACACAGGAGTGGGAGAATGGACTCCCACCCCCAATACACTAAAAAAACCAAAGCTATCCACACTTTCCATGTATTTCAGAGTAAGCTCTATATTCATCTCACAGGAAGGGAAAACAGCTAAACAAAAGGACAACTGCATTCAAGCAGCCAGGCCAAAACAAGGGGCACGAACTATGAATTCATGGAGGAAAAAGAGATTGGCCACTGTACATGGTACAATCTCTTATCTCTTCAGAATGTAAGTGGCGTATGACATGACTGAATGCCCCCCCATGTTAAAAAGAATTCCCTGTGTAAAGAAAGCTAGGATGTCAGGGAGAAGGGCTCCTTGACAAGTTAGTTCCCTACATGAAGGGTTTTTAAAAGACAATATTCAAACTAATAACCCCTCAACCAGTGTTCCCTCTAAGCTGAGTTAGTGTGAGCTAGCTCACAGTTTTTTAGCCTCCGGCTCACACATTTTTGCCTCAGCTCAGGCAGGAGGGCTCCAGAGCAGACTCATTGATGCAGGAGCCAAATTGTTTGCTCACAGCTTTAATGCCAGTAGCTCACAAAGTAGAATTTTTGCTCACAGGACTCCACAGCTTAGAGGGAGCATTGCCCTCAACTGTATTGTAAGTGGTTGGTATAGACCCAAGAACGCTGTATCACATACTCTGGGCAGCTCTAGGCTCAAGGATAAGCAAAATTAAACGAGGGGCCTTCAGCTCAGACGCTTGGTCACTGTATGTGTAAACTGAAGCAACAGCAAAACTGCTCAAGTGGAAATTGAGTTACAATACAGCATTAGGCCTCACAGAACAAAACGGAAATCCGCTGAGCAAAAAGAATCGTGCTAAAGATCCATTCCTTCATTAATTATCTAGGACAGGACAGGACAAAGCCCTCCATTTCAATGGGGTTAAGCAGAACTCCTTATAAAGGACACAGTAGCCAATTAGCCAGAATTTGAGAGGCTCCATAAAAAACTGAACTCCGTCCTGCTCACACATGACCAGAAAGAAGGAATGTGAAGTCTTCCGTTTGGTACAGTAGTTAGAGTGTCAAACCAGGATGTGGTGTTTGGGGGGGGGATTTTAGATTTGCTATTTTAACTGAAACGTTTTTAACTATTATTGTAAACTGCTTGGAGTAGGATTGCCAACTTCCAGGCAGTGGCTGGAGATTTCTGGCTATTACAACTGATCTCCAGGCAACAAAGATCAAAAGCTCCTAAGTAAACTCAGCAGTCATGGCATAAGAGGACAAGTTCTTTTGTGGATTAAAAACTGGTTAATTAACAGGAAACAGAGAGTGAGTATAAACAGGCAGCTTTCACAGTAGAAGGTGGTACATAGTGGGGTACCGCGGGGCTCGGTACTGGGGCTGGTGCTTTTTAACATGTTCATTAATGATTTGGAGCTGGGAGTAAGCAGTGAAGCGGCTAACTCTGCGGATGACGGTAAGTTATTCAGGGCGGTGAGAACCAGGGAGGGCTGTCAGGAGCTTTCAGAGGAATCTGTCGAGGCTGGGGGAGTGGGCGTCAATGTGAGAAATGAGGTTCAACGTGGGCAAGCTCAAAGTAATGCACATTGGAGCCAAAAATCTTAACTATAAATAGACGTCGGTATGAGAAAATAATGGGGGACGGGGAAAAGTCACCCCTCTGGATTTCTTAGAGGAAGAGCAAGACAAAACTTTAGAGGCCCAGTCAGAAAGCAAGTTCTGTAAGAAGTACATAGTTGCAAACTGTGGCTTGGGAAATTTCTGGAGATTCTGGAGGTGGAACCTCCAGGGATTGTGGAGGAGGCAGGGGTTGTGGAGAGGAGGCACCTCAGCAGGGTCTAATCCTGTACAGTCCACCCTCCAAAGCAGCCATTTTCTCCAGGGGAACTGATCTCTGTAGTCCGGAGATAAATTATAATTCCACATCTCCAGGCCCCACTTGGACATTGGCAACCCTTGTTTCAGAGGAATCCTGTCCTTCGGCTGATTTATTTGAACAGCTGGATCCTGAGGAGAAAAGGCATTTTGCATACACCCATAGGTAAAAAGGACACTGACTACCATAAGAAAGAAAACACCAGAACATTTGTGTTGATCGCCCTGTTTACAGACAAGCAGTTATGATGAAGAAGACAGAGAAAGTCTCAGTTGTGCAAAATTTGGCTTCGCGGGGGGAGTGCTTCTCTACATTGTGGTAAAACCTTTTTTAATGTATTTATTTATATCCTGCCCTCCCTGCTAAGGCAGGCTCAGGATGGCTTCTTAATTTTTCAGATGAAATGACAGTTGGGCAATACAAATATGAAAAACAAACCTACTTCATGACGAAACCTCCATCTCAAAATCAGAACCATGCCCATTTTGCCCTGACAATTAAAAACATACCTTTTGGTTTCTCTGGCTTGGTGCCATAGTAACCTGTGGTCAAAAGTCCTTTAGTAGCAAGGCTTTCTACAAGGTTTCCTTCACACGTCCAGTAAGGACAGCTGCTGCAAGTTTGGGTGTCAGCTGCAGGTATAGAAGAGATGCAATAAGAGAATGGAGAAGCCAAGGAGTCCTGGATTCAGTTACCAGATTTGGGTAACATACACAAATCAGCACAGGCTTCAGTTTCCCTTCCATCTTCCCCATTTGAACTGATACATTCTTGGGGCCACCTCCACTCCTGGCAAGGTGTTCACAAAATGAACACCTCTTCTTGGTTAAGGTCTTTCCAGCATCCCACCCAAAAAGTGATCCCGGTTGCACACAGAATAAGCAAGGGGTGTTGTCAGACTCCTGCAACAATCGGAACCAACAACTCGCTTCTTCAGAAGGAAAGTTTATTCATCAGTATTGGCAGAACATCTCTTCTTCAGGAACTGTGTTAAGACTAAAGCATACCGCGCGGGGTGAAGGGATATACAGTGTTCAAAGGGTGGGTGGATGATAACCAATGAGGGGAGAAGAGGATCCCACCAGAATGTATTGGTCCCACTTTCCCAGAGAAGGTAGGACGGTGAAGCATTCAAGGCCAAGCACATAAAATATACAGATAAGAGAGCCAGCATCACCAAGACAACCAGGAAACTGAAAGTACATTCTGAGGAGTGAACGATTCCCCCACCATCACCAGCCTCTATGGCAGCTAGCTGACAGGTGTTGCAAATCCCAAGGCAATATCAGCAGAGTTCTGTAAAGAGTGGCGTCAGTCTCATACATCTGGAAATAACTTCCTTTGCCCTGGACAGTAGCACCCTGAAGAATACCAATCTTATGAAAGCTCCTACCCTGCCACAGATTTTGTTAGTCTTTAAATTGCTACTGGACTCTTGCTCTTTTCTACTGCTACAGACAGATGAACACAGCTACCCATCCTGATCTATTTCCTCTGCCCTGGAAAGCTTTGCTTCTAGATCCCACATTAAGGGGCACCAAATTAGACAGAAGGCAATTTCTTCTCCCTGCTTAAAAGGTATATAATAATGTTGCCTTTTATCAGCAAAAATGAAAATGAAAAACAATCAATAAAGTATCTGTTTATTTTGACACAGTTGAATCTGAATGCCAAGTAAAAGTTCTTTCTAGACTTTGCATTTTCTGTCTATTGAATGGAGGTGAACAAAGCCATCCCTGCATTGCCCGCTAGTGAGTGAAAACCACTTTATACACACTTTTAGACTCAAACTTAAGGATGTCTATTTGGATAGTCCCAAGACTACATTAATCCCAGAATTCCTGGTTTGGTTCAGCTCGGGAATATCCAAAATTACCAAAAATTCTCCTGAGGTTCAAGAAGTAATGAAAACCTATCTCCTCAAATTTGGGGAATGTTTCATGCTTGGGGGAGCCAGCAGGAGCAACGGAGGAGGAGGGAGCATGTCTTAGGGTTGCCAGGTCTTACCTGGCTGCTCGGGGGGAGCTCCAGCCTGGGTCCCTGGATCTTCTGGTGTGCGCAGAAAGCATGCACACCACAATGACATCACCTGGAAGTGACATCATCGTACCAGTCACATCATGCAGTGGACCCTGTAGCATTTAGCCCAAAACTCTATGGCCACCATAGAGTGTTTAGCCAAATGCTAGAGCTTCCCCCATATGACGTGCCCAGCACGATGATGTCCCCTCCAGGTGATGTCATTGTGCTGGGCACATAAAGTGTGAGGGGGTTGTTTGGGGCCAGGGCTCCCCACACCATCCAGCTGGCCGGCAGCAGATTAGGGGCCCCGAAAGCAAGGAAACCCCCGCATCCCTCGGTGGGATGGCAACCCTAGCCTGTCTTGGCTGGTACATGATGCACCATCCCTTTAAACTTTAAAAGGCCACTGTTTGCAAAGAGTGGAAGACCTGGCTTCCAAATACTGGATACCAGGTTTCTGGCCCATTGATCATAACGGCACATTAAATTTTAAAGGACAATGCACTGTGGGCCAGCTGAGGTGTGCTTCCTTTCTTTATTTCCTCCCCTCCCTACATCTTCTGCTGGAGGAAGCGCTGCAGGGTGTCTTAATTTTGGTCTTTTAAAGGGCATGATTTTTGAGTGCCAAAATTCTGGAACGTGAAAAGTGTTCCTGGAATGGATTTCTGAACGCGTGTCAAAAGTTCCAAAATTTCAGCACAACAAACTCATACCCTTAACCCCCCTGCAGGGTGTCTTAATTTTGGTCTTTTAAAGGGCATGATTTTTGAGTGCCAAAATTCTGGAACGTGAAAAGTGTTCCTGGAATGGATTTCTGAACGCGTGTCAAAAGTTCCAAAATTTCAGCACAACAAACTCATACCCTTAACCCCCCCCCCATCCTCCAAAACGAAGTTAAAATTTATTTTTTTGAAGCACACATCCTGACTCTCACTCCCATTTAAGCATGTGTAAAGAGCTGCGGTGGCTCAAGTGGTTAAGACACTGAACTGCAGGCTGTGGAAGGTCAGTAGTTCAGCAGTTCAAGACCCGGGTTGCCACATAACCGAGTGAGCTCCCGTCTCTGGTTCCAGCTCCTGCCAACCTAGCAGTTCGCAAGCAAGAAATTGCAAGTAGATAAATAGGTACCACTTTGGTGGGAAGGTAACAGCGTTCCGTGCGCCTTGGTGTTTAGTCATGCCGGCCACATGACCACGGAAACGTCTTTGGACAGCGCTGGCTCTTTGGTTTTGAAACGGAGATGAGCACCGCAACCCTAGAGTCGAACTCGACTGGCTTTCGAGCAAGGGAACCTTTACCTTTACCTTTAAAGTGGCTTTATCAGGGAGTGGTCACTTCTCAGCGGTAGACCAGAACATGATTTTTTGTGTGTGTGGAGGAGACATTAAAGTGTCCTTTGGCACCTTCAAGACTGA